CTACTTTTGACCATTTAGAAGAGACTTTTCCCTAAGAGCCTATTAAAGATGGGAAAATTATTTCAGCTTATCCAAATGTGAGATTGCCTCTTACATGATCTATGTTAATATATGCAACCTTCTGTCTATGAAAGGGAAGCAGGACCTCAGGGTCTGAGTGACTTTTGTACATTGTTTAAGAACAGACATCTACCCAATTTAATCTTGTAAACTAACCTGCATGTAACAGTATTTACCATTTACTGAATGCTTGCTATGTGTTAAGCAATGTTCCAAGTGCTTTACAGGGAATAGCAAATTGCACAAGGTCCCAAAAGATGGGGATTATTATTTTGAATTTATAGAGGTTCAGAAGAGTTAAGTAACTTGCCCTGTGATCATTGAACCAGTAAAGACCACACTTGAATCCAGGTCTGCATGACCCCTGTGACCATGTACTTTACACTAGTTTATGTTGCATTCCAAGTCTAATTTATGCAAATGACTGTGGTAAAAGAAAGAGGTATTCATTGAAACACTACTAGGTGCCTATTAGGTGTCCTTGAGCTAAATAGTTCATTAATTTGTGCCTCCATTTTCTGGTCTTTAAAATGAGGATAATAAAGACTCCTGCTCATAGAGTTGTTGTGAGGGCTAAATAGTTAATACATGGAAAGAACACAAGTGCATTTTTATGAGTTCTAAGAAATGGGAATACATCAGTGAACAAAAGAGATAAAACGCCCTTGCTTTCATAAAGCTTCCTTCTAGGGAAAAGGAAAGAGCAAATAAACCAACAAACAAATATATGTCAGTATGTAAAGTCATAGTAATGTCAGGATATAGTAAGAACCATGTAAGAAAATCAAAGAGCAACCGGAAGATCAAGAATGCTAGGTTGGGGCATTATTTTAAGTAGGGCCATCATGGGAGACCTTGTTGAGGTAACACATGATCAAAGACTTAAGAGGGATGCAGTTGTGTACCATGCAGATATTTAATAAAAAGTCATTCCAAGCAGAGGGAAAAGCAAGTGCAGAGATCCAGTTTGCCTAGTCTTTCAAGGGACAACAAAAAGGTCTAAGGAACTAGAGTAGAGTGACCAAGGGGGGTCATAGGAGATGAAGTCCTGGTGGGTGGGGAAGGGGCTGATTATATAGGGTCTTGTAGGTCATTGTAAGAGCTTCAGTTTTTATTCTGAAACGAGTGGATGGTTTTGAGCAAAGGGTAACATGACTGGATTCATGTTTTTAAAAGCATCCCTCTGGCAGCTATGTTAAAAATAGGCTGTAGGCCCGGCTGAGCCTGGCTCAGTGGTTGAGTGTCAACCTAGGATCCAGGAGATTGCAGTTCAATTCCCGGTCAGGGCACATGCCGGGCTGCAGGCTTGATCCCCAGTGGGGGGCGTGCAGGAGGCAGCCGATGAATGATGACTCTCTCATCATTGATGTTTCTCTCTCTCTCTCCCTCCCTTCCTCTCTCTGAAATCAATAAAGACATATTAAAAAATATATATAGGCTGTAGGAAGGGTAGCAAAACAGTTATAGGAAGCTATGAGAGACCATTTGTACTGCAGTAATTCAGGAGAGACATAATATTGGCAATAATCAAAGAGTAGCAATGACGATGGTGAGAAGTGATCAGATTCTGGATGTACTTTGGAGGCAGAACCAATAAGATTTCTGGAAAGATTGTATGTGGAATGTGAGAGAAAGAGAGGAGTCAGGGACTGGCCTGAGCAGTTGAGAAGAGAGATTCCATTAACTCAAATAGAGAAAACTAGAAGCAGTGTTTAGAAATCTTTTGTGCATCTTCTTATATCCTTCCAGCCTCACCTCTTATTCCAGGTATTGTGCAATGATCAGCCCTGTGCAGACATCAACAGCTTCTCTCAAGAGCACATAATGTCACCTTGCCTCTCTCATTCTCTGCCTAATACGTGGGATACCTGCAGAAACCAGCCCTCCTAGCACATGTGCAACTAGAAGCATATGGTGCAACCCTGACCAATGGTAGACAAGAGCTGATGGATAAATGCTTTCCTCTTCTTTCTTCTTCACTCCAGTACAGATTTGTGAGATACATTTCATAAGGCTTCTCAGAAGGTACCACAGGATCAATCCACCAGTTCATGGCATGGGGTCAACTGAATAATGCATTCTTATATTGGCTTTTCATTCTTGTCTATTTTGTTTACCCTGAGTCCCTTATTCTGTTCCCTGAGTTCATATTCTCAAATAAACTACCTTTGTCTTGGGCTCTGCTTTCAAGGGAATCATGGGCACCAAACGTGGCTCTAGAAATCAAACCCTCAGTATGGGATTTTGGAAGATGAGCCAACAAACTGATCACAAAACAGTAAGGACCTCCTGCTGGTTTGGTGGTAAATTGCAAGTGGTGATTATCCCTGACATACAGTAGCATCACAATTACTCAATTGTAGCAGATTGGAATGAGGTGCAGACAGAAGATGATTCACTGGATTATATTGAGCATTATGAAGGCAATGATAATTATTAGGTAGGCTGACTTCTGTTACCTGCTTTGGAGATCTTAAAAGAAAACGAGTCTCAGTTCAACCAACAGTCAAATCATGGCACATTGTGAAAGCATACTTCTAGGGCAGTGTAGCCACTGAGAAGACCGTGCAAAAAATCAGCCCCAATATATAATCTTAAGGGTGGCAGAGCTGCAAAGGAGCCTGAATGCACCGCCTTGAAACATCACCCATTGTCAAAATGATAGGAACTTGAGACCTAGAATGTGGACATTTGTGTTGAATGCCTGATAATCTCAAACCCCCAGGCTCTAGTCATCTTCTGTGCCAACAGGAGGTCTTCATGGTCTTGTGATCAGTTTGTAGGCTCAGCTTCCAAAATCCCATACTGAGGGTTTGATTTCTCCTTTGTCTTGATAAAGGAAAAGCAGCCTCTCCTTGTCTGGAAATGCTGCAAAGAATATATCTGAGGCAAGTGCCTCCTAATATAACCTCATTTTCTTTAATATCCACCCCCATTACCCTCACTGACTTGAGCCTATAAGCAGGGTCAGATCTCAGCACAACCCACGTGGGGGATTGCAGTCCCTGCTCTAACAAGAACTAGACCCGTGTTCCTCAGTCTCAGCACTAGTGATATTTTGGGCTGGATAATTCTTTGTTGTGGAGGGTTGTCCTGTGTATTATAGTTTGTTTAGCAGCATCCCTGTCATCTAACCACATGCTTGTAGAACTCTCCCAGTAATGAGAATAAAAAGTGTCTCTGGACATTACCAAGTGTCCCCTGGGGGTCAAAATCACCCCTAGCTGAGAATTGCTGAGTGAGTCTAACCCAAGAGGAATTACAGGACTGGCTAACACGTATCAGAGGAACCAGGGGAACATGTGTGAGAGCGAATATTTAGAACGTTAACCAGAGGAATCCGGCTATAAGGCTGGACAGGGGTGAACTTATGACGTGGGATCATTTACCTGTAATTCTAGGTTTAATGTTTTGGCAAGAACATTTGGAGTCAGTCGTAATACACAGCCTTGGTATCTCCTTAAAGCATGTTCTAAATGAGATGTTAGAATAATTCTGAATGAACACTGAGACAGAAAGCAAAAGATTCAGGGAAGAAGGAATGTGAGAATGAATTTATTCTGTGAGACTAAAGAGTCACCATTAGAATGCATTTCCCAAAGTAAACTACTGCACATAGCCTTTGTTTCAGCCTCTACTTTTTGGGGGATCCAGGAGGGGAGGGGAAAGAGGAGAATTTAATTTTTGGACACATAAGTCTGAGATGCTTAACAGACATCCAAGTGGAAATGTTGCGGAGGCAACAGATACACAAATCTGGAGTCCAGGGAAGAAGTCCAGGCTGCTGAAATGAACTCACTTTCCAATGCTGAGGAGGGATGTAAACATAAAGGTTAAAAAAAAAAGAGGGGAGACAATAGCACATGCAATTGTTACATAGAGAGTTTCCGCAGTAACTGTTTTGGGACCAAGCAGGAGGGAGCTAGGGGTTTTTGTAAAGATAAGACTAGATACAGATTCTGCTCTTAAAAGGGAAGTTACTCAATGAAATTTAAAAGCATTCCGAGTAGCGCTGACTAGAGTATATTGATATCAGTAGCAAACATGTCCCTATTGTTGCTGATTTTTCCACCAAATTGTATCTTTAGATAAACACTGAGACACTGCACAGCTCATTTGTCTCTTTTTCTGTGAATCCATCCCTGACAAAGTGAGTTACCACCTCTTGTGCATTCCCATGGAATTTAGTCTCTTTTTTTCTACCTCTATGGTTGGGTTTACCTTACTAAACTGTAATTTATCCACTTATTTAATTGTCTCCCCAATCAGGGTGTGCCCTATTCTGAGTGGGATCCCTGTCTTTGTATCTCCAGCACCTAACACAGTGCCTGGCACAGAGGTGGCACTGTAGGTCAAATAAGTGAATGCATGCATGAGTGGATCTCTGCAGAACCCTTGCAAAGAACTGCTTTGTGCAGGAGCAAAGAACTCACTCCTTTGAATTCCCAGCACACTTACCTGTCCTGTAACTCATTTTGGTCACTTATTTTGTTTTACTTTATATGCACTTGTGTGTCTGTCTTGTTTAGCCCTACCACACCGTGAACTTCTTCAGGCCGGATTCGTGTCTGAATCACCTCTGCACCTCCAGTCAAGTGCCTGGCAGGAAACAGGTGCCAAGACTATGGAGTAAAAGAACCACTTGCCTCGCAACCAGCTGCATTGGCTGTGCCTCTCAAACTTCACTGGGCATGGGCGTCATCTCCTTAACACTCAATCGGATTTCTTCTCAAATAAACTGCGGAAAATATCTGCATAAATAGCATCTCTAAAGAAAGTAACATCAGCGCCAAATCCTCCGGTCCCAAGTCAGTCTCTGAGCCGCAGAGGCCGCGCCACTGCAGTCCCTGCCCCGCCTCTCCCGCGAGACCTTGCCCCGCCCCCTCCATGCCGATCGCCGCCTCTCATTTCCTCTCCCCGGGCCGACTTCCGGCGTGGAGGTTTATCACGTGCCCGGATATGGGAAGTGGTGGCCGAACCGCCCCTTCCGGTTTACCGCTCAGTTGAGGGGCGCGTCTTAGGAGTGGTGGGCGCTCCCGCCCCTCCGCGTCTCGGGTTTGGAGGACGCGCCTCGGCACAGCCGGGCTCAGTCCGGCCTTGCGGTAAGCCTTGGGCCGCGGCTGCCCGGTAGTCCCGGCGGGGGCGGACAGACGAGAGGACTGGCGGGAGCCAGGGTGTGAGGCGGCTCCTCGGTCCCCTGCGCTTTCAGCGCGCGGGGTCAGCGCCTCTCGCTCCGCCGTCGGGCCTCCCTTCCTTTCACCGCCTCTGGGTAGGGCGCAGAGTCTGCTCGGAGCATCCCCTGGCTCCTTGCCCTGGGGGCTGGGAGACCAGTCCCCACACATCTCTTTATGGTTCCGCCCATAGGAACCGTGTTTCATTTGGGCAACGACCCCCATCACTTCGCTCTTTGGCGTAGACCGGGCAGGAGGGTATGACAGTTGCCTTCCCCTTCTTTGTCCAAATACACATTTTCTTCTAAATCTCTCAAGTATATTCCCCTGTGTCCGTGCACTGTTTTCTCCTCTGGATGACAATGCTCCACGCGCTGAGGTGTCTTGATAGCCAAGGCGGCCCAGCCCGCACGGAGACTCACTCGGACAAGCTGTTGGCCACACGCTGTCGTGGTCGAACTGAATTTAAGGAAACCAGAACCAACGCAGAGGAAGCAGCGCCTGTCTGCCTGCCTCTGGAACGCGGTCAGACAAGGATTCTTAAATCTGAAAAGTACTTTTAGACGATCTTGACTGATGTATTCACTGTCTTAACAGAAAAGTAGGTTGGAAAGACTGTAGAGCAGGGGTGGGGAACTTCGGCCCTGGGCCGTGCAGGGCCACAAGATCATTTGGTCTGGCCCTGCTGAGGCCTCACCAAAGAGAAGCGGCTCCAGCCATCACATTAGGGGTGAGTTAATTAAATGTTTGACCCAATATGACGGGCTAATTTTTAAGTTGATAATTCTGTGTGGCCTTTGAATGATGTTATAAATAGCCAAACGGCCCTCGGCAGATAAAAGGTTCCCCACCCCTGCTGTAGAGTTAGTCACTTGATCCTTACTTAGAATGTAAATGCCACAGAGGCACTAGTGGCCTTCTCATCATGATCATACTTGCCCTTTTCACTGCTGTCGCCTGGAACAGTACCTTGCATTTAGTATGACATCAGTATTTGCTGAGTGAATGAGGGTCAGGTAGTGCCTTTCATTATGCCTAACTCCTTTATGAGGTATGGGCAGTCCTTTTTTTTTTTTAAACCACTAACCATTTAGTCGGTTGTTGCTTTTAACCAAAGAGGGACTGTGATGTACACGTTGGCCACTAATAGTCATTCATTTGACCAGTTTTTACTATTCAGTTCAGGTTGCCTCAAGAAGTATTTGTTGAGTAACTACTGAGAAAGAACACAGAACTATGCCAGTGTGTGTCTTTCCCTCCCTCCCCCTTCCCCTTCTCTCAAGAAAGTTTTTGAGATCTACAAGCTTCCAATCTCTTGAAGCAATTTGCAGCAAGTGCTTGACTGATCAGTAAATACAGTAAGTGCCATAGCGATTGAGAGGAGACCGTTTGGATTAAGGTCTTTACTGAATCAACTTTATGTAAATCATGAAGTGTAATTAGGGTTTGGATAGATGATATTCTCTGCAGGGAAAAGCACCTAAGCAAAGATTTAAAGACCGGAATAAACAACAGGGCTTGGAGTGGAAGGCTTATGTTTTGGAACACTAGTGAAACATTGAACAAGAGCATGTTGTGATGAAAGCTGTGCTTTAATATTACTTGTTTGTTGAGGTTTTTGGGGTTGTGGAAGCTTGCAAAGTGATAACCAGATACTGTGCTGTTAAATAAATGTAGTTGATGTGAACCTGGGTCGGTGTGTTGACGGGGAACAAAACAGAAGGATAAATTACGTGTCGATGAGGGGAAGTCAGCGGAATGTGACAGCAGATTTCGTGTTGACAGTAGAGGAGGGGACTCAAATATGACGGAATTTGAACCTGGACATTGCTCACAGACGTGAGAGTTCTGAAGGGGGAACTAACCTTAGGGTAAGAATAGTTGTCCTGTTATTTGGTAATATCATTTTGGTTAATTTATTAGATGCCTGCTACATCCTTGCCAAGTTGCAGGAATACAAGGATGAGTAAGACTTGGTTCTTGTCTGCAAGGAGCTATTTTTAATGCGGGAGAGAATACAGTGAGCTAGAAAATAATGTTTTAAGTGCTGTGTTAGCACAGTAGAGAGGAAATGTTAGAGAAGTAGAAAGGGAATTAGTGTGTGTGTGTGTGTGTGTGTGTGTGTGTGTGTGTGTGACTACACAGATTTTGAGGGGCCGGTTTGACTCTCCCAAGGAGAAAAGCATTCCAGAAAAGGAAATTGCATTAACAAAGCCCAGAGATAGACAAGCAAACTGGCCAGTATCCTGTGTGGCTTGGGGATAGGGTGCAGTAGATCTTTTAGCACAGTGTGTAGGCCCTAGAACATACTAAGGAATTGGTAACAAGGACGTTTTGTAATAGGTGGAAGGGAGGTTAAGATGGGTGAAGATGTAGAGAGAGAGAAAAGAAAACAGTTGGTGAAAATTGTACTTCATGGTGCCTACGTTCTCTGCAGAGTAGATGGCGAAGTCACTTGCAGAGAGGGAGGAGGCTGACACTAGAGTTGGGGGTTGGAAGAGAGAAAGAAGGATTTGCAACAACACTGATGGGGAGTAGGAAGAGGAGTCATCAAAGGAAGTGTTAAGAATTGCTGAGCAACATTGAGTCATTGGATTTAGATATTCATGCAGGGAACAAGGAGGTGTGGCCTTCTTAAGTGCATATGGTAGTACGAGAGAAGTGGAGAAAAATATACTGTTTATGTAGCTTTATAAACAGGGTGAACTGGTCTACAACAAACAAGAGGAAGATAACTGAAGGGATAGTGTGAGTGTAGGGAAATGGACACTGCTTCCAGGCTAGATTTGAAAAGAAGCTTGGAGAGATCAGATAGACAAAGCAGGAAGGAGAGCAAGGTAAGAAGATTAGAGGCTGAGATGAGATGAAAGAGGGAATATCCGATTTTTTGTGAGAAAGACAATTTTTGAGTTGGAGCAAAGATAAAATTTTCACAGATTGAGTGAAATAGAGGAAATACCTCATTTACAAAAGTGTCATTGTGTTATGAAAATTCATTCTAAGTCATTTATTTAAAACATACTTTCATTTTCCCATAGAAATGGTGTTAGAAGTTAATTTCCTAAGCAAGTTCACGTATATGAAATGCTATATTTGCATTGGAAAATAGTGAGATATATATATACACACATGCTATATTCAAAATATAAGATTGAAAAGATATTTTTAAAAATATTTAACTTAAGCTGATATTTTCAAAAAGATGCTGAATTACATGAGAAGGAGATAAGTGGAAACCTATTTTTTATAGTAGCTTTATTGAGGTAGAATTCAGATACTATAAAATTCACCCTTTTCAAGTGTATAATTCAGTGTTTTTTAGTATATTCACAGGGTTATACAGCTGTCACTACTATAATTCAAGGACATTTTCATCACGCACAAAAGAAACCCCATACCCATTAGCAATTACCCCCCCCATTCCTCTTTCACCCCAGCCCCTGGCAACCACAAATCATTCTGTTGCTATGGATTTGTCTACTCTGGACATTTTATATAAGTAGAATCATAAAATATGCAGTCCTTGGTATCCCTCTTCTTTCACTTAGCATGTTTTCAGGACTTATCAATGTTTTAGCATCTATCCGTACTTTGTTCCCTTTTTTGGTTGTGTAATATTCCACTGTATGGATTACACGTCAGTTTGTTGTATCAGTTCGTGGATATTAGAGTTGTTTCCACTTTTTGGCTATTGTGAATAATACTGCTATGAACATTCATGTACAAGTTTTTGTCTGGACATAAGTTTTCAGTTCTCTTGAGTATATACCTAAGAGTGGAATTGCTGGATCACATGTTAACTCCATATTTAACATTTTGAGGAATCACCACACTGTTTTCCAAAGTGGCTGCACCATTTTACAATCACTAGTATGAGAGTTCCTTTTTCTGCACATCTTTACCAACACTTGGCTTTTTACTTTTACCCATTCTAGTGGGTGTAAAGTGATAGGTATCTCATTGTGGTTTCAATTTACATTTCCCTAATGTTAGTGATGTAGAGACATTTTTTCATGTGCTTATAATCCTTTGCTCAGTTCTTAATTGGGCTGTTTGTCTTTTTACTATTGAGTTGTAACTGAGTGGTAAGAGGTCTTTATACAAGAAATTTATATTTAGAGACTGAGCATGTGTTTTAAAATTTTTTTCTCAACTCTTTTTTTTTTTTGTATTATAATCTTTGGTGAGCACTTCCAAAGACTTTATAGTTTGCTAACTGCTTCTCTAATTTCTTTTCCAACTATACAGCTTTTTATTTTTATGATGTGTTGTATTAATGCATTAAATCAATCTTCCTATGCTTATTAGCCATAGATAAGGTCATTGTAAATCATAAACAGAACAATGTAAGAGAATGATTTTGAGACTGAGCTTAATATCTATATTCCGATTTTCTTCAGCTGAGTAAAGATGACAGCAATCAAACATGCGTTACAAAGAGACATTTTTACACCAAATGATGAACGCCTGCTGAGTATTGTCAATGTCTGCAAAGCAGGAAAAAAGAAAAAGAACTGTTTTTTATGTGCCACAGGTGGGTATTTAGTAAGAAAAAGTCTTGTTTGCCATTCTTTTATTCCCACGGGGACTTTTCTTCTGTATTCTAGATATTCTCATTATCTCTCTAACTGGAAAAACTGTTGGACCAACAAATTTATTTAAAACATTTTTTTAATTAAGTATTGTGTAGGTACAAAAGAATTCCTATAACATACGGTATGAAGACTAACTATACCGTGATACTTGGGTTTTGACAGACTGCTGACATTTTCAGTCTGGTGGGTTCGAAATAAGATTTCATTGTGGTTTTAAATTGTATTTCCTTAATAATGAGATTGAGCCTCTTTTTACAAATTTATCAGCCATTTAGTTTCCTTGCCTAAGAAATATACCTGCTGGTTAGAGTGTTGTCTGAATATGACAAGGTTGTGGGTTCAATTGCCAGTTGGGGCACTTACAAGAATCAACCAATGAATGCATAAATACGCTTCTTTGTGATCTGTGTCTCCTTCTTGGTGAGGTGTCTGTTAAGGTCTTTGACCCATTTTTTAATCAGATTTTTTTCTTGTTGAGTTTTAAGAGTTTTACTTCTCAAGTACTCTACCTCTGACCCTCTAGTATGATTTAGAATCTTTCATTAGTATTCTGAGCATTCCTCAGTCATAGCATTTGTTATGAAATATTATTCCTTTAGCATTGGGTACAGGCACCTGATAGCTATATTTTAATGAGTGAGTGAATGAAAGAAAAATGAGTAAGTGAATGATATTTCTATTGAAAGTGTGTATTTTATTCAACAGTGACAACTGAACGGCCTGTGCAAGTGAAGGTGGTCAAAGTCAAGAAATCTGATAAAGGAGATTTCTACAAAAGGCAAATTGCGTGGGCTCTTCGAGACCTTGCTGTGGTAGATGCCAAAGATGCTATTAAAGTATGATTTTTTTAGGGTGTTTTTTTTTAACCTGTATTCAAAAAGTGTCTTTCATTTTATAGTGTAGTATTATGTCTTTTAAAATGATCTAATCTTGTTATTTTGTAATCCACTGGTCCATCAACTAACCAAGAATTAGTCTAAACTGTATCACTCAAGCTTTCATTCTCCCACTCCCCACTCTTAGGCTACTGAAAATAGGTACATATGTATGTTTCATTGTTTTTGGTTTTTTTGAGCTACAGTTATGTTTGTGCACAAGACATAAACTAGAGCAAAATAACCTTGACTCTATGCATTTCAGTATTTAAGTCAGGTATACCTAGTATGAAATCCATAAGTTAGTACAGATTTTTAAGTGGTGTATTGTTTGAGTAGTTTTTAAAAAATCATTGTTCCTGTAAAACCTAGTTCAGAAACCACATATAATATAGCAAAGTGCGTCTTTCTTAGTCCTCATGAATTAATATAGAATTGCTAGCTGAGGCAGCCAAGCTGACCTTTTTTTGTTATTGTTAATCCTTACCTGAGGATATTTTTCCCATTGATCTTTAGAGAAAGTGGAAGAGAGGGAGGAGGAAAGAGAGAGAGAGGGAGAGAGAGGAAACATAGATGTGAGAGAGACACATAGATCGGTTGCCTCCTGAACGGGCCAGGGATCAAACCTGCAACCCAGGTATGTGCCCTTGGCCAGGAATCAAACCCAAGACCCTTTAGTTCACGACTAGCACTCTAACCAGTGAGCAAAACCAACCAGGGCCCAAGCTGCCCTTTTGAGGCCATGGTCTGATGTTTGTGGCTCAAGTAAAGGAAATGAGAGTGAGTTAAACACCTTATTTTAAGGAACTTAAAGAGTAAGATATAGGAATACAAATCTTACACTTGTCATTTAAGCCAATTCAAACTCCAAGAAAGGTGAATGAGATCACAACCATGTTAAAGGGCCACCTTTATTCCTGACAATTCGAGGTTTTCCACAGCATTGCCTTTTTCAAAGAAATCAAGTAGAGCTCCTCTGAGTAAGTGCTGCCCCCTCCTCATCTCCCTCCGCAGCCCAGAGGCACCTCCAGAGCGCCAGGGCATGCATAGTACACATCGCTGTCGATGGGGCTAATAGCAAGGCTCATGTCATTACAGGTGCCCTTTGATTTAACTCCTCATGTCTTATACATTTATTAAGAAGGCACAAAGAAGTAAAAACTACCTTTGTAGAGCAATTTGATAACATAAAATTCTGGTTTTACTCTAACCCTGGTACAAACTTGTGAGGAACTAAAAACTAGACAAAATGACAGGCAGTTGAGTCAGGTGCAAAATAATTTTTTAGTGAAGCAAAAACAACTTTAGAAGAGCCCTGTGTATCTGTAGAATTCAGGTTTCTTTCAAATATACAGAATGCCTTTTCTTTAAGTATTTTTGGCAAACTAGGCCTTTGCTTTTATCCCTAAGGAGCACCCAGTTTTTAGAAAAATGTGGAAACAGGGTTTGGCAGGTGCTTTGAGTGTATGTGCTTTGAAAGAATTAAAATGTGATTTTAAAAATACTTTACTAAATTATTTAACAAATAATTTCTGTTACCATGGGGAAGGATCAAGCGTAGAGGCTTTTTTGGTAGGTTTCTGTTTAAGAGAAAACACTTTAAGGGCTTTTTAGAAACATAGCTTTATTTAGAAGCCCTTTTTCCTTCAATAGTTTTGTACTTCGTAACCCTGTTGACTTGCATAATTTGCTAACTTGGCTGAATGCTTATTGGAATGCTTTCTCATGGATGACGCCTCATTGCTGACTTGCTTAATGGATTTTTTCTTTTCATTTTATGTAGGCACCTTGATGTGTATATGCTATATATGGATATAAAACATAAAATTTTTATACATAGCCTAACATTAGCCATTTAGTATCACACATTGATTTGTGTGAGTGTTGCCACTGGAGCACTCAGCTTGTTTTATGGCATTATGGGAAATATTCCCAGGGAAGAGACCATTTCCCATCAAGTTTCATATTAGTTGCCAATACTCTTAGATTTTTTTATAAGTAATAATGCAACTATCTATTCATTGTAAGTGTAGGTTTTTAATCTTTCAATGCTCAATTCTGCTTATTGATATATAAATTAAACAAATTAGTAGTTCCATGCTACCATAATATGATTGTGCCACATACTGGTAAAGTTCTGATCCCGAAATTATCCCAAGTCTTCACAGTATAAGTCTGATATAACTTCCCTTGCTTTTAAGGTCTTTATTTACATTTTGTTCCCCCTAAATAACACTTTAAATTAATTAAATATATTATTAGCCTTCTGTAGAATATTGAGAATGTTTGAGCCTAGATTTTAATTCTTTGATGTGAAGTAAAGTATATGTCCATCTGTGTTCACTTTTTATATTTATGTACTAGTCAAGTTCTACATTCAGGGGACAATTAGCCTGGCATGAAATTATTGCTATAGTGTGGCTCAAGAGACATGTAGAGAGCATAGTGCAATTCCTTCACATCAGTTCAGCTGCTTTTCAACTTTTGAGACACCTTTAATCATTCTATATTTTCAGAATTGAAAACAGTTAGGGGCAGTCTCTGCCTTTTACCAGATTTGTTCTTGAAAACCGCACCAGGATATAGATTGTATTTTTTTCTCATATGGTATAATTAGAAGATATATTCTTTATCAGGAATTAGTGTCAAGTCACAGTTATAAATAATAGTACATCAAAGAAGAGGTATAACTCTAAAACCCCATAAGCAATTTAAAAAGAAAAATTAGTTCCACATCAAAACTAGAGGCCATTGTCATTTACAGATTAGGAAGCTGAGACACAAAGCCTATACTTTTACTCATAGTCTCTGGGGGGATAGGAAGAAAATTACCAAAACTATGTTGTTTTTTATCTTGCTTCTTTTGGGAGGTAAACAACATTTTTGCTCTAAATTGAATTTTCTGAGCCATTCTCTGCAAGTCACTTAGCTGATTTTTAATGGTGATTTCTTTTTCAAGAACAGCTTCAATTTCTTTTTGTTTTATTGAAATGCAGATTTTACAATAATGAAAATGGGATATGATCAAAACAACACCTTGTATATTTTTTTTCAGGAAAATCCTGAATTTGATTTACATTTTGAAAAAGTATATAAATGGGTTGCCAGCAGCACTGCTGAGAAGAATGCATTTATTTCATGCATTTGGAAATTGAATCAGCGCTATCTCCGGAAGAAAATTGATTTTGTCAATGTCAGTTCACAGCTTTTGGAAGGTAACAGTTAAATAAAAATGTAGTAAAATAAAATAAAAGTGTATCTATAACAGAATATATCATTTGACATTATTTAAAGTAAATAGAACACAGTTATCTTTTTTGTAAAGGAATTTAAAAATAATTTTATTGCAGAAATGATTATTCATTATAGAAAATGGTACATTAAATAAATAAAAATTGCATAGATACTCGGAGATAACATTTTGTTAGAATTCTTCTAGTCTTTTCTTCATCCAAATTTAAAATACTCTTTCAAATGAAGAAATTTACATTGTTTTCTAACATACTTTTTTGTATAATGTGTCATGAACATTTTCCATGTTATTAAATTCTTATACAACATTATTTTTAATGGCATCATAGTATTCCATCATATGGGTATGCTGTAATTTATTTAATCATTTATTTTTAATTTTTCAATCTTTGCTTATTTTAAAAAACTCTGAGATGAATACCTTTGTAGCTGTATTTTTGTGCAGAGTGTAGGTGTAGTGATTAAGTACGCAATCCTGGCGGGAGACTGTCTGGGTTCAAATGCTGGCTTTGTCACTTACTAGCTATGTGACTTGAGTTATTCTATGTTTCAGTTTCCCTTATAGCAGAAATAGAGATAATAAAAGTATTTACCCCATAGGATTGTTGTGAGGATTAAATTACTTAATATCTGAACATGATGAGAGCCATGCCAGATATATAGTAAGTACTCAATAAATATGAGCTATAATTATATTATCAGGATAAAAATCCTTAGACTTGAAGTTAATTAAGATAATTTTGATCAGTTATCTCTTCAGAAATGTTACTAGAGATTATTTTATGTTACAAGGCAAAAACTCTGTTGTTAATTATTGAAAATATATGAGATTTTATTCTTTTAAAAACTTCTTTCATCAAGATATAAACATTGTAAGAAAATGGTTCTGTATGCCTTGTAGATGTAATTTCTTTATTTCAAAGCAGTTGAAAGAACAGATTTGTTGCTCCTCTTTATTGAGAAAAAAACTTAGATCTGTCTTAAATTATAAAGAAAACTTAAATTTGGCCTAAGTTGTATATTAACATTTAAAAATAGAAGCTTCTATTCTGTCAGGTGGAAATACCTGAAATTGCCAATATTCAGCCAGTCTGACCTATAAAAATAGCAGTTTCAGATATTTCAAACTATTCCTTTTCTTAGTCACTTGCCTCTGTCTTTTCTTTTTATTATTATTATTATTATTATTATTATTATTGGCCATGGATCTTTCTCTCCTTAAATGTAGTATTCTTTCTTATCAGTTATAATTAGTGAGCCTGATAATAGTTTCAGATTTACTGCTTGGAACTGGCAGAGGCAAGTCACACCTGTCAGGCCCTGTGCTCCTCCCCGCAGTGAGGCTGGCCTTGTGTAGGAGCCCTCAGTGTTGACCTCTCACCAAATCAGACCCCAGTGTCTTGGTGACTGAATATGTTGCAGAAATGACCTTCAAAATATTTATGGTAGTTTTTCATGCCTTAAATAGTGGTTTAAATTTTTTTATTGGCTTTTATTTATTTATTTTAATTACAGGGTTGAATATTCTGTTAAGTGAATTTAAAAGCTTGCTGTCCTCTTTTCAAATATTATGTATTTCCAGATGTTATTTATTGCCTAAAATGTATTTTAAACCAATATATTTTATGAAGTCAACAATATAGGAAAATATATACCCTGTCATTATTTACCTCATTAAGAAATATTACCAAACTCAATGAGAAGAGTATTACTGTTATTGAGAATGAAGTGTCTAGCTTAAAAAAAAAAAAAGACAATTTTTCAGGGCCTAAAACAAAGGTGTAGATGTTTTCATTTTTATAAATATTAACCCAAATTGAGATAAATTTTAAGAATACTGAGAAGATCTTTTTGGATCTCATTTTGAAAATCACTTTCTATAAATCAAATAACCATTGCTTTGGTTTAGCGGAGTTCACGGAGTAGCTTTTTTAAAGTTTCCAAACCTGTTTTAATGTTTTACTGGACTTTAAAATCATGGCTAAGTCCCATAAAAAAAAAAAAGGATGTCTCTAAGCTTTGAGTTATGTTAGAAAACAAGTAAATGATCACCATCTCCTGTTAAGAGATAATCATTCAAGTAAGTAAGACTGTTCATTGTGAATGTTAACAGTGGTGACTTTAGTATTTATTGGTGACAGCTGAATGTTCATGCTAATAATTGGGGCTTCTCAGCAGAATATGACTTGTAAAAGAGGACTTTGTTAGCAGCTGAAGTAGACTAAAGTTTTGGTTTGGCCTTTTCTTTTTCTTTTTTGTAACCAGATTTTTAAAAATCTTTGACTTAAATCCTTAAATACCAGCTTGAACTGGTATCTTGGGTGTTTTATAATTGCTTCAATTTTGTCCTTTCTAACAATGTTTTATGACTAATCCATTGTGAGGGTGTGTCAGTCCGGGTAAAGGTTTTGGGCCTTGAGTGAAAATAACTAGACTAAATGCATGAGTCACAACTGACCTAAAAATCCCCAGGAAGTGGATCTGTTTTCCAGTTTTCTCCTTCAAGGACCAGTCAGTACTATTCCTTAAAAGACTAAGAGAAATTAGAAAGTTAAATGTATTTTTAGTAATTGTCTGAAATGAATTAAAAAAATGAACGCTCGAAATTTAGCTTCTTATGGATCTTTCCACTTTGTAGTTAATTTTGACATTGTCTTTTAAACCTTGATTTAGCATGAAGTTCAAATGAAATATGGGTAGTATTTTAAAATTTTAAGCGTGTATACTTTTCTACCCAGCTAATATTCTTTGCTTACTTTCCTCTGCTTTTTTCATACCTTTTTACTCTCCAGAACTGCCTAAAGTTACAGAAGGTGCGTAACACCTTTTCTTCTTATTCTAGTCTGTATATTTTTATTACTTGCCATTGTTATGTACTATTGGTTGCATATTTTATGAAATTGTGTTCAGGGACAAGTTTATTACTACAAAATCCATACAGTGATAAAATTAATGATACTATTCATTTTTAATTTCCAAAGAACTGTTTCATGGGAGAGAAAATACCTCTGAAGCAGTTATGAACTTTTAAAGTGTTTGTTTATTTTAAATGTCTACTTGTGTAAATAGCTGTACTGAATGTTTTGGGCAGCCCCTGCTCCCTAGTGGCTAATAAGCTGTCACACATGACAGTTTAACATTTCCACAGTGAACTGAAATGGACTCATTCAAAGGATGAGGAGCTTGGTGATGCCTCTCTAATTATATACTGTAATCTGCAATTGCCTGTACCAAGAGTTTTACTCTCTCTTTTTTTTTGGTCTGGGATATTATATAAATCTGCCTAATGATCAATTCTTAAGAGTAAATACTTTGTTACTTTGAAATAGCTCTTTTTTGTTCTAGGATGAATTAACATGTCAAGTCATACTGAATGTAAATATTCATTTTCATAGAAAATAATGAACATTTAAAGCATCCAGAGTCTGTGATTTAAACTGTGTACCATTAAATTTATGAAAATCAGTACCTTTATTTAGAGATTTATTTAGAGGTTAAAAATTATTTTTTTCATTTTGCCTCTTTTAACCTCAAGCTTTATATAAAATCTCATGTGTTAAGTGTATTAAAAAAATTGAACTGAAACATTTATCTAGAAAGCACCCCAGATTTGACCTCTTGGTCCTTTATTAGAAGCTTTGAAGACTCATGTAAATTTCTGTAATGTCAGCTCTTTTTACTATAGAGTTGTTGAGAAAACTTCTATGGCTGATCTTCAGAAATTTTATCAATGCGTGTGAATATTTTTAAACAAAGAAATGGAAAATTCAGTTAATATTTTCAGTGTCCAAAATAAATTGTGTATTGTAGCTATATATCATTTCAATGAAAAATTACTGAAAAACACACACGAAACAACCAAACATTACAAAGATGAAAAGAACAAAAATAACAGAAGAAAAATGTTACCTAGGGAAAAAAGGAAAGCAAATTGTTTTCATGTGTCCTAAATTTATAATTGTTGTTTTGTTAGAGCAACAATCACCTCAGGTAGGAAAAGAAGGTTAGGCTTGTTTCATGTGTTTTGTTTCTGTTTTTGTATTTGTTTTTTAGTTTAGTTGTGTTTTGGGAAATTGTGACTAAAGCCTATTTTAACACAAGTCTGTGAACTAGACTGCATGTTTTTTATTATAATAAACATTAACAGATTCCATTTTTTATAAAAATAAGGTTTTTTATTATATTTTGAATCATTTTTTCCTATTTTCCAGCCACTAAATGTGACGTGTGCTTATAATTGACCTTACCTATAAGTGCCACTTACTGCCCTTCCTACTGTTTTACTATTTTATTTTTAATTTTTACCCTGTTTAAGAATCTGTTCCAAGTGGAGAAAACCAGAGTGTGGCAGGAGGTGATGAAGAAGCAGTGGATGAATACCAGGAGTTAAATGCGCGAGAGGAGCAGGACATTGAAATAATGGTGGAAGGCTGTGAATATGCAATTTCTAATGCTGAGGCCTTTGCAGAGAGGTTATCCAGAGAGCTGCAGGTGCTAGATGGGGTAAGACTCTTCTATAATCTGTGATTAGTGCTGTGTAGTGGATTGAGAAGACTGAGAAGACTATTTTACTGCCTCATGGTGTGATTATTGCTCTTTCTCTATAAGCGCGTTACCAGCTGCCATCAGTTCTTGATCAAATGGCAGAACCATTTCTCTTAGGCCAGTGAAGGCAGTTGGCTAAGGTTCTGGATTTTGAGAGATTCTTGATATGAAATGATGGAAATAAAAAGTAGCCAACCAGAAACTAATTTGGGAGTTGATTCCCACAGCCTCTGAAACACCTCAGAATAGTTCAATGCAAAAGAGTAGCATTTTTGTGGTTTGGAAAAACAATAGGTGCAAATTAGAGAGAAATTTGGCTGAAATAGATGAATCATTTACCGAAAGGGAGCAGAATAAGTGTGGTGAAAACGGGAGAGTCAGGAGGAAAGGATGTTTGAAATGTTTTGGGATAGATTCTTTAATTTGTATGCATAGTTTGTGAGTCAACATCTAAAATGCACATCTTTTAGAATGGAGAGAGCTAAAAGGAGCAGTGCTGATGTGAAAAAATCTAATATGAACAGTTGGGTTTTTTTGTTTTATTTAGATAAGGTAAGCATTTAAGAAAAACCCTCAGAGAATGAGGAATATTTTAAGGGTTGAAGAATTTTGGTATTTTATACTTGAAAGGTAGAGGAGTTATGAAGTTGAACTCAGGTCCAGAGATTACATGAATAGTCCAAGCTGCCAAGTTTACAAAACTCACTGGAAGTAAAGGCCTAGAAGAGACTTCAAGATGTTAAAGTGGGAATTGTCCTGGACAAATTTAAGCCCCAGCTGTGCTACTTAAGAGGTATCAATGGTTCTGAGCCCTTCTGACCTTTTTATTGTTGGGCTGTACTTATAATTGAGTTGTTATGAATACTGTATAAAATAACACATATGAAATTACAGCATCAGGTGTACAATATATTCTTGTAATTCTTTGTCCAGGTTTTTTCCTCATGTTACCTGCCTTCTTAATGTGGCTTAGTGGTTTATATTTTCCAATTAATATTGCAGATATGTTCCAAGTCATATTGCTTTGCAGTTTAATTTTGGATTTGGGAACTTCTGTGTTTCAGGGAATTGAAAATTGGTAATCAGGAACGTTTAGAAAACAGTGGTAAGGGGATGGTGGTTTGTTACCGCTTTGCCTAGAGAAAAACATAGTGCAAGCAACAGAAAAAGGAGTGAAGACCCTAGGACGAGCTGTCTTACACACACCCTCTTCCATCCCATTAGCACACACTGTGTTGGAGTGTCAGGCGGTTCCATCATCGCCAGTGCTCTCCACTAAGGCACTGCATAGATGATTATGCTTTGCTTTAGGGCTTCACGTAAGTGTTAAGTATGGAAAATTCCTAGAGCTGGTAGAATTAGAAAAAATGTTGGAGATGACCTAGTCTAATGCCCCTTAATTTATAGAAATGAGAATATACCATTACTGATGACACGTAGTGAGGCAGAACTGTACTTGTGCAGTCTGTGGAAATAGGAAATACTGAGAGGCCTTGTCCTTAACCTCAATATAGAGGTAAGTATACCTTCTTGAAATGCTTTGTAAAAAGTGGAATGTAAACATCAAGTGATAAGCCAAAGTAGATTTGTAGATGTACATGTCAATCTTTGTTACTCTGCTGTCAAAGAGATTTGGCTGTATTTCATCTTTATATTTCTTTTACACATTTAAATAATATGCAGTGTTACTTTTGTTTTTAACTTTGCAGGCTAACATTCAGTCAATCATGGCCTCTGAAAAGCAAGTGAACATCCTGATGAAGCTGTTAGATGAGGCTCTAAAGGAGGTGGATCAGATTGAATTTAAACTCAGCAGTTATGAGGAAATGCTCCAAAGTGTAAAAGAACAAATGGATCAGATATCTGAAAGCAACCACCTAATTCATCTTAGCAACACTAATAATGTAAAACTCCTGTCTGAGATAGAATTCCTTGTGGTAAGTGTGGTTATAAATTACCAACAGCAATAAAAAATCTAATCTAATGTGAAACCCATTTGTAAACGTTTTCTAATTTCCTTATGCAAGCAAGATTTAAAATAATTACAAAGACCTAGTGATAGGATTGAATAGCCACTTACCTGTGAATTTCCCAAAATTATATGTGCAAATGTTATATTTACATATATTCCAGAACCACATGGACTTGGCCAAAGGTCATATAAAGGCCCTTCAGGAAGGAGATCTTGCTTCTTCTAGAGGCATTGAGGCCTGCACCAATGCCGCCGATGCCCTTCTGCAGTGCATGAATGTAGCTCTTCGACCAGGTGTGTTCATTGGAGATAATAAAATGTGACCAAGAACCTGAGATTAGTCTGTAATTTAGCAAAATGCTTTTGACAAGAAATAGATGGGGCAAGTGGTTTAGGGTTACATTATTAGCTATCCAAACAAGTTTCACTTACTTCCAAACACTAAGAACTTTTTCATTTCGGTTCCTTCTGATTGACTATCAGTGACCCAAGTTAACACCATGATTTTTCTTCAGCACAGTCCACAGAACCTAGAACAAAGTAGATGCTTTGGTTAGACCAGAGAGCAAATAGTTTTGCTAAGGCCAGTGATTCCAAAACTTGACTTTGCATCAGAGTCACCTGAAAGGCTTGTTAAAATACAGATTGCCAGGCCCCACCCTCTGATTCAGTATGTCTGGGCTGAGGCCTCAAAATCCACATTTCTAATGTTTCTCAGATGATGCTGAGGAAGGACCACTCTTTGAGAACTACCATGCTATACTATTTCCCCCCTTACCATTCTTTTATAAAAGCAAACAAATCAGTAAAAGCAGGTTCTTCAAAACTGAAATATGGATACTGTTAAATATACTCATGAAACATGGGAGGATCTTTTTTACCCATTAAAGCAAACAAGAAACATTCTGATTTCAGGCCATGACATGCTCCTGGCAGTCAAACAACAGCAGCAGCGCTTCAGTGATTTGCGAGAGCATTTTGCCCGGAGGCTGGCCAGTCACCTCAACAATGTTTTTGTTCAACAGGTAATTTTATTTTATTATTGATACTGGTATGTTCCTGTAGCTTGTTTATATATTACCTTAAGCTTAAATTCCCACCAAAAAAATTAATTTATATCATTGGGATCATAGCATATTCTTCACACATTTATTTGATTTTAAGATTTGTAATTATGTGCATATTTGCTCATAGGTGTATTTTGGGCCTCAACTACCTCCATAGGTAGACAGTTGGTTCCTTTCAGCTAAACGTCTCTGTTTCTAGAAATCACATAAAAAACTATGCTTTCTTACTGTGTATACCATTAAGATAGTCTTATTTATAAAAATAAGTCCAAACTTGTTATATGTTTACTGTTTGGCCTGTTTTATTTTTCAGTATTTTGAGGTGAGAACCAGGACTTGATTCAATGTATGAAACGTTTCATTGGCTCTGTGTCCTTTATACATGAGAAAAATGACTGCAGTGCAATTGTAAATCTCAGTTGATTTCATCGTACATAAACCATTTGTCTACATTTTTATATGGAAGGGGATGTTATAATTAAGGTGGCAATAATATTAAGAGTACCTTACAGAGATTACAATAGAAGGCATTTTAATATCTGGTACAGTAAATTAGGTTTCTTATGTTCTTCCTCTCTTTTATTAGGGTTATTGGGTACGCAAAAAAATTGTGGGAAAGCTTGTTCATCAAGAAATGCTGTCTGAAACATTGGATTCTTATTTTGTTTTCAATTGTATTTACTCTATTTTATTTCTGATTAGTTTACTCAGGCCCTCCTTCAACTCTATAACAGGTCCTACTTTCTTTCGGTGCCTGTGAGTACATCAAATTTGGCTCAAGCTTCTCTGATTTTTTTTTCCCCCATAAAGTTTGCCAAACTTAACAGCAGCAGAATCTTTATAGATTTTAACTTGCTGATTTAAGCTACTTGGTAACCTTATTTGTCGCCGTTTTTTAATGTCCGTAACGAAAGTTTATTTTGGCCAAAAAGGCATTTAATCTCATTCTGCTTGCCTTTCTTCCTGTCATTCTTTTACTCACTCACTCCTTCATTTACTTAGAGATCATTTGCCATTTGATTCATACCAGACATTTATTTGGGATAAACGAGCAGCTGATCCTGCCCTCAAGTAGCTCACAGTCTAAGGAAGGGAGATAGATACTCAGGAAGAGTAAATGTTATGATAGTGGTGTATGGGAGCATAAAAGATGACCTAACTAATAAGCATGCAAGGGGAAAATTAGCAAAGACTCTCTTAACATTTCACTTAACTTGAAAAGTGTCAAGAAAAAAAGTAACTAGAAGTCACATAGGAAATACTAATTCACATTGTTCTTATAGAATGATTTCAATAATATCTTTATCTACACAATTCCTTGGTTTTAAAAAATGACACTTGACAGTGATGTTATCCACATTTGTCAATGGTATTGAAAATACCAGTCCGTAAACAGTAGTCCTTTCTGCACCCTTAATTGTTTGTTGTAACATTCAGATATTTATGACTCTGCTTCTTTGCCTTATAAACTAATGGCTTGTTTAAAATGAATGCTTCGCAGTTCTGAAAATCTAACATGTATTGTTACGTGTGAATGATGCGTGTTAAAAAACATCATGTTGCAATACCTTGAGATTTGCTGAAGGAGGTGGAAGAGGATTCCCAAGTACAGAAAAGAGATTTTCTTTGTTTTAAATTCAGTGCATCAGGTCAACTAGCAAAAGAGTCGGGAAACCTAGATATTTCTATTCCTGGTTGTGGGACAAAATATCTGGGAAAATTTGATTACCTTATTATGGTACATTTCTTTGTCAAATTTTCATTGTATGCCTGTTATATACTCACTCTCATCCATATGTAAGTATAAGAAGTAGCTCCCATCCTCAAGATGCTTGTAAGATTAATGTACTTAAAGCTCTACAGCAATGTGTATATTAAATTGTTTATGTATAACTATGTACCATAGTATGCATATATATAAGTGCTAATGAAGTTTAGTTAAAAGTGAGTTTATTGAGGATCTGAGTAGTTGATGCGGCATCACAGACTTGAAAAGAGTCAATGCAGTGCAGTGTATAGCAAATGTATAGATGTTGTAACATTTATAAGTACTATAACTACTGTACAGAAGAATCCAGTGTAAATAACCTACTGATCAAAATATAACAGTAATTTAAGAGCATTGATTCCCAGTCTTTAAAATTCACACATCACTAATTAAAAGAAGTAAAATTTGGAGACTACGTCACCACTTATTTATTTTATCAAGCAAAAACCTTAAAAAAAGAAATACTGCCATCTACTTTTGCATAAAGAATATGTCCTTTTAAATTCTTTTGGTTGTTTTTTGAAAAATTTGTCTTGTCCTCGTCAGTGTGTCTCAGTGGTTAGATCATTGGCACCAAAGGGTCAAGGGTTTGATTCCGGTCAAGGGCACGTACCTGGGTTGCAGGTTTGATTCTGGCCCCAACTGAGGCACTTCCAGGAGGCAACTAATCGATGTGTCTCCCCCCCCCCC